GGAGGGTCAGTCATGCATACTGGGCAATTATTTCCTGCCGTTTGTTTCTGAAAGAATTTGATTCCAGATGCAGTTAAGTAGTGATTTTCTTTGACCTCTGTTAAAGCATTAATCTTTTTATTGCCGTTAAATAACCTTTCAAATAAGATTTTTTTGTGCAATTCTGGGCTTCCATAAATGATGTCACACGCACACCTTCCTTTCACATTGCCGTGTCTTGGTCCATGCCTTCCTCCTGCCCCCAACCTATGGCTTTTATTGCTGTTATTCCAAATCGCTTGGAGCTTGGTTTTATTATGGCTACGAGAGGCACAAAGATGATGATCGAGGAAATTGACTCGTCAACTTTTGCTTTGATTACGTTTATTATTCGTGGAAAGAGTGCAAAAATGAAGGTCTCCCAGAACCTATTGGAAGAATCGCGAAAACGTCCCGGCCTCGGCGAACGAGATTCAAGCAATTTTTCTGCTCTTCACGAAAAGATTCCTCATACCACAGGCAGACCACCCTCTGCTAGTGGGGGCCGTTGTTGATTGAAATCTGAGCAGCGATCTTTTGTTATTTATAGAAGAAATACATATGAACAATACGGTGACTATAATTTGTTCCAAAATGCAGAATTTAAAGCAAATTTTTCAATAAAAGTTTAAAGAAAATGTTAACTGAGTCATGTGTCATGTTTTTTTCGCCGCCCCTTGCTGTTTTAAGCGCTATTTTGCGAGATGAATATTTGACCTCGGCGGTTGAAACTGAGAGGCTTAGGCCGGTTCAGGAATTCACAGCAGGCATTTGCCCAAGACGTTAAAATTCCACGGCCATTTGCCTTCTTTGCGGTTAGGCATATGGTAATCTGCGGTAAGATAGTTGATTACATATCCGGTCACGAGCAATTTGAAGTTGCGTCTGCTATTTCCAATTTTAAAAAAATTCTCTCTAAAACTATTTCTCCGTTTGGAACAGTTAAAACAGAATCAGGGAACATTTGGATCTGTCGACGGTGACTTTATGAAAAACAACAAAACAAAGAAGACAAGCAAGATGCTGCGTTACTTATTGGGGTTAATATATTACAGCAATACCATATTCGGAAATATTAGCGGGAAAAATGAAGTAAACTCGCTCTACTGCCCGCTTAAATGCAATGGCATTCAAGACGAATTTTTTCTCGTTTAATTTTCGCTTGTGCACATGCTGGCTATCTTGTGATCTTCACTGAAACAGGTAAATAATTACTATCACGGCCGCACGGTGAGTAATTACTGCAAATCTTTTCATAAAGAAAACGTTTTAGCTATAAATGCGAGCGGACTGTTATGTCGAAGACGTGGCGCTATAAAGATGCTAATCGAGCTTGATCTTAATATTCGCTGAAGCTCAGAATTGGTTATGGGGACCAGCTCAGTCGCTAATGAAACTATTAAAAATTATGGCGTTACTCTCAATAAGGCCGAAGGGCTTCGAAAGCTTTTTTGTGTTATAAACCCGATACATGTAAATATAAGCCGGCCTATAAAAAATATGGATCTTTCCTCAGGAAATATCTGTAAACTTGAGCATTAAATATATAGGCATGCTAGGTGATATTTCAAGCGAAGAATTGATCCTTATTTGCCTAGGTCTAACAAATACACTGGGGCATTAATTTACCTGTGTTTAACAAAATACAGCAAATACACGGGTGTTAATTTGCCTTTGTCGAGCAAATACCGTAATTTGTTTAACAAATACACTGGGCATTAATTTGTCTTTGTCTAATAACTACACTGTGGCACATAATTTGCCTGTGTCTAACAAAATACACTGGGGCATTAATTTGCCTGTGTCTAACAAAATACACTGGGGCATTAATTTGCCTGTGTCGTAACAAATACACTGGGGCATTAATTTGCCTGTGTCTAACAACAACACTGGGGCATTAATTGGCCTGTGTCTAACAAAATACACTGGGGCATTAATTTGCTTGTGTTTAACAAATACACTAAGGTATTAATTTGCCTGTGTCTTACAAATACACTGGGGCATTAATTTGCCTGTGTCTAACAACAACACTGGGGCATTAATTTGCCTGTGTCTAACAAAATACACTGGGGCATTAATTTGCCTGTGTTTAACAAAATACACTAGGGCATTAATCTGCCCGTGTTTAACAAAATACACTGGGGCATTAATTTGCCTGTGTCTAACAACAACACTGGGGCATTAATTTGCCTGTGTCTAACAAAATACACTGGGGCATTAATTTGCCTGTGTTTAACAAAATACACTGGGGCATTAATCTGCCTGTGTCTTACAAAATACACTGGGGCACTAATTTGCCTGTGTCTAACAACAACACTGGGGCATTAATTTGCCTGTGTCTAACAAAATACACTGGGGCATTAATTTGCCTGTGTTTAACAAATACACTAAGGCATTAATTTGCCTGTGTCTTACAAATACACTGGGGCATTAATTTGCCTGTGTCTAACAAAAACACTGGGGCATTAATCTGCCTGTGTCTAACAAAATACACTGGGGCATTAATTTGCCTGTGTTTAACAAAATACACTGGGGCATTAATCTGCCTGTGTTTAACAAAATACACTGGGGCATTAATTTGCCTGTGTTTAACAAAATACACTGGGGCATTAATTTGCCTGTGTCTAACAACAACACTGGGGCATTAATTTGCCTGAGTCTAACAAAATACACTGGGGCATTAATTTGCCTGTGTTTAACAAAATACACTGGGGCATTAATTTGCCTGTGTATTACAAAATACACTGGGGCATTAATTTGCCTGTGTTTAACAAAATACACTGGGGCATTAATCTGCCTGTGTTTAACAAAATACACTGGGGCATTAATTTGCCTGTGTTTAACAATATACACTGGGGCATTAATCTGCCTGTGTTTAACAAAATACACTGGGGCATTAATCTGCCTGTGTCTTACAAAATACACTGGGGCATTAATTTGCCTGTGTCTAACAACAACACTAGCGCATTTATTTTTCTGTCTAACGAATAAACGTTAGAAGTATTTACTTTTCTCTAACAAATATGTTTATGTAATCCTTTATCAATACAGTGGCAACTAAGATAAAGGCGTTTTAAAACTGAAAATTCCGGTGATGTATATTTTTTAACCAAGCCGGCACGAAACTGCTAGCCTCGAAAACTATAACTCAAAGAAAGAGTAGCCCTGTCCCATTGTTTTATTGTATTTAGTTACATACCAGGCGTTTAAGAAAACTCGTATACCTTAATGAGGAAAATTTGCCTCTAAAACGTGTCGGGATTAATCCGGCTTATAACACCTTCGTAAGGTTTGTCTTCTTTTTAGTGTGGTTCCTCTTTCAGCTCCTGCTGTGATTTAGGTAAAAAATTTTTACCTAAGCAGCGGTGACCCAAATTCCTGAACCGGCCCAAGCTTGTCGGAGTTGTGATACTACCACATAGTGCAACATGAAGCAAAAAAAACAAATTAGGTTCAATCTGGCAGTTCTGGCCGAGCAGCGGGAACTATAACAATAAGTTATCAACATCCAATCAGATCCAAAAGAACAAGAAGAAAGCTACTCCCGTAATTACGGAAGCCAGAAAAAAGAAAGGAAGGAAAGACGTAAACTTTATCCACCAGTGAGTGGACGCTTTAGTTTTTGGTGGTTTCCATGATTTACACTATTTATGATGAAAATGCTACAGAAGTAAGCTATTAATAATAAGGTCCTTAGTTTACGATTTTGTGTTGAATGAGGATATTATTTTTAGAAAAAAATTATCCCAACTCGCCTCCACGAGTTTGTTTGACACCAATCCTGTTTTACGAAAATTGTTTGAGACTAGGCTATGACCTTATAATAATCCTTCTGATTCTAAAATATCGAATATAGATTTCTCGCTTTTAGTTGATTAAGTTGTAAGTTTGACTACTACTAGTACTAGGTTACTACTGAGGAAGGACTTGCATTTATTTTTTTTGCAAACTGCTGACTAGAAGAGGTTTGAACCCTTAAAAGAAACAATCACTGATCAATCAATATGGAATTTTTTGGACTCATTACAACGAAAAGAAAAAGATGTCTGAGGGGGATAATAACGTGACTGGATTTCACATTATGTAAGTAAAACAACTAGCTTTCTACTCAACGAAATTAACTGGAGTTATCACCTATAACATGACAAAAACATATTTCTTGACATCGAAACTCATAGGTTCGACCGTTAAATTATACGAGCTATCACCAGGTTTCATATATTGAAATTGTGAGCCATTTATATAACTGAGTTTCAGGCGTTTAAGAAGAATACGTTTCACCAATAGCCATAATGGGACATAATGGTTCTTGGTTTCACATGGATTAATTCAAATCAGTTATTTTCAAACAGAAAAAGAATGAAAAATCATGCATGCAGTCAATTTCTATTGCTTTGAGAGTAATGGTTATTTTTTCCTTTGAGGAGAATCCTTCAAATAGTGTAGGGCCTTGTTTAAGATACCGTCGACTGAAGAATAAGTGGGTAAGTAGCACACTTTGAATTTCCATCAAAAACTACAATTGTTCTTATAACGTAAGGTTAATTGAAATAATGGTCGACTTCAGTTCATACCATGGAAACAGTGAAGCCTTTTCCACCAAGGTTAGCTGTGGGAACTTACTCTTAGAAGCTTACCTCCATTTCAAGCCTTATTATAAGGCAATCTACTGAAAGGAAAACTAAAACAAATTGGTCTTTAGAATCAGTTATCTTTAAGCCTTTTATCAAGCAAATTTTTAAAGTCCTCAGGCACTCATTACTCCATAGGGGCTTTTATAGCCCATCCAGTAGATTGCCTTATAATAAGGCTTGAAATGGAGTGCTTATCTAAGCTGATGCTTTTGTACAGAGGAGAAAAGCAAAATAAGACCCAGTTTATTGAAGTAGAAACCAAACTCGTCGTTATATTATAACACCGGCAACTTTTCAGGGAAAAAAATGCAGACAGATAATGCAGATTTTTAGCCCATAATTTAATTTTGTGAGAATGAGAATTTTTCATGGCATGTTTAACTCTTTAAGCCTTAAGGTTTTACATTATTTGTACGTTAAATAGCAGGATTCGAAAGTGAATTCAATCGTAGAACTGCCAATGACATGTGGGAACGAACGTTGGAAGATTTTCTTGCGGCTGAGACTGCCTTGCGCTTATTCCTGTGTCAAAAAAAAAAAAGAAAGAAAGAAGAAAATTGTTTATTCTATTGAAAACATTGAGGACGAAGATTTTATTGCCCAGGGGTGAAAGTGATCCGGGGAGCCGGGGAGCTCCTGGAATCTCGTGCGTTGTCATACAAGCCTCTGGGCACAACATAGGCCAAAGAGGGAAGCGAACTGCTTCAAACGCAGGGGGTTTTTACGCTATAAAATATCTCTCAAGCAGATAACGATTTCACTCGAATTATTTTACACCCTGTTTTTCTCCTTTATATACTTACATAAGGAAAACGGTAAACGTAGTTGGTCATGGGTCCTCCAACGTTGGCCCAACAATATGTAGTTTTGGTTTGTTTATCATATTTGTCATAATTCTCAGAAGCGTCCCAGGAAGACCAGCATTCTCCGTAAAATTGGACAGCGAAGTACTTGTAGCCCATGTCACGTGCTACCAACGCACATTGACGTATGGTAGCGTCCATATTGTACCAGTCAATGAAAGGTCGGAAATTTGCATACAATGTGGGAAGAGCACGGCTAGACGAGTCTTTATAACAACCAACCGCCTCAAGTTTAGGTAATGGTTCTAAAACAAAGGAATTAATGAGAAAATGCATTACAAGAAGATACAGCGTAAATATATTTCCTTAGAAGGGTAACGAAAGTGGCATATCCTTAGTGCTAGTAAAAGACATGATTAATATATAGAAAAGTAAAAATTATACTAACATGTGAGACCTGACCTGTGCAATGCCAACAGACTTAAGAAACAGGAAACATTTAAATTAGCTGCTCCAGAACCATACTTTAATGTCTATGAGGCATGTCATGATTTCACCTTACTCTTACTCCACCAAAGATAAAGAAAACCCTACCTAAAGGTCAAGCTTGAGGCATAGAGGTGGGCTTATTCAGCCTGCCATTTTTTTGAGTGCGCATAAAAACCATGCCATATGCAACATACTGTCTAGTCATCCCCACAACAACGACAGAGGAAAACTGGGCTAATGGAAAGCTCTATCACAAGGTGTTTCTAAGGCAGTTTTGAATATAATGGTGTCATTGGCGGTTTTCTGATTTGCGCTTATCAGTTTTTCAGGGTTGCAGTTTCTATAGGATAACAACAAATGCTAAAATTGCACTGTTATTATAGCAAATACCAAGAGCCATAATGGGACAGAGACTGTCCCATTATTATTCTTGTAAATACCAAATGTGTAAACGACGCTGTGGTCTCCAATTCCAATTCCATTTGAACACTTGTTTTTTTTGGAAGCAGGCTTGTATCGGTAGTAGGTATCCTTTGCATTTGGTCCTGACATGCACAGGCCACCATGTCCAAGAGCAAACACATTGTAACCACTTTGTTTTGTAAGCTCCTTGCACTCCATTAACGTTTTGCTTGCATCGGCTTCTTGGGTGAAATCACCAAGTGTCTCTGAGAACAGGTCTTGAGGTGTCTTGAAACACCCGATCTCGTACTCTGTTGGGGTAATGAGAGGTAATAGTTTTATCACAACTCTGAAAAGTTGGATTCAGAGCTGAAATCGTGCCAATGGAGAGAGAAAGGGATTGAATGAATGCAACCTCTTCGGTCTATTTACTGTGTACCACATAAGTTTGGCTGAAGATCAAATTTGGCTATAGGGTAGTGGCAAGTCCTCCCCATTCATTAAACATTATGTATTTAGTACATTTTGTATAAATTACCCTACATCTTTACTACATTTAGAAAATTCAGCAGGTGGAAGCCAGAGTAATTGTGCTTACGTTAAAGTGACGCGTAGTCATTCTTCATTGTGGTGGCCTAATTTTTCTTTGTACTGTATAGTAAGGAGGTTTATACCTTTACAGGGATTGTCACTATTGCATGACTCCGTTATAGCAAGAGGTGGGGATTCGTATTCACATTGTATGTCTGAAACATCTTCATCTTGTCCCAGTTCGTTTATTCTTGAGCATTTAACCTCCCTGGTTCGGTTTCCGGTAAGGCAAAGCTTTGAACACTAAGGAATAAAAAAATGCACAATTTAAAGTCATCCACAAATAGATTCACGTATAAGTGTTTCTGTATAACTAGTTACTGGTTACAGATCCCATTGGGGTTAGAAATGAACGGAACTTGTTGTGTGCTCATGCGATTTACACTACTATTTTAAACAGTCCCATAACCTAAGGTTGGGACGCGCATTTCACTGCAAAAGGTTGTTACTTTCTTCCCGAGTGATTTTTTAAACCCACACAAGAGTAACATCACAAACCGAAAGAGTTATTACAAGAGGCCTATCAAAGGATTTTTGGAGATAAGCCATACTGCTAATCATAAAGAGTAGGGGGAATTTCTGTGCGATTAGAGTTGTCTAGTTATGTGTGGGAAACGGACTGTTACTTTCGGGCTAACACTCATCAGATTATCGCTGCTCTGGTGAAGCTATTGAATTCTGCGTCGTACTTCGTATTCCATACCTCAGGCCAATAGGTTTTCCACGTAGCAGGACAGTTCACATCATTGCAGCTTGATCTGAATGTCATTGGCTTTAATGTTATGTTACATAGGAATTCTGACTCGTCTATGTCGTAATGAGTGTCGTTTAGCTTTGCGCGGCAAACAACAGATCGTGACTGGGTACCTTTTCCACATGTTTTAGTACAAGCTTGCCAATCGTCTGTATGCCAGCTAATTTTCAAAGTAAAATACAACGCAAAAATGATATTACTGGGAAGGTTATGAGAAGCAAAAAAAAAGCCAATAAAATCCACTAAACGTGGGATGATGGATGAAAGAAAATGAAAGGTCAAAATTCACGTTTAATTGAAAATTTGGAGAAAATTAGTTAAGTTAAACTATCGTCGGACAGAGGTGACTCTGGCTTTGCCTACTAACAAACAAACATTGAATGATATGAAGTAAAGAAATCTGAAACTGTTTCAATACTTGTGGCAGAAACATTCCAGTACGATGTGTGCTAGATAAATATTTTTTCTCGGCTCAATACTCTATTCTTCAGAGTTAAATTTGTACTCTTTTATTTATAGCGTTTAAGTTACCAGCTAAAGTTTATCTTTCCACCTTCTTACCTGTAACAGAGATTTACAGAGTTTGGTTTGGACTCTTCTCCACAGCAGTTAACACTAGCAGCTGTCTGACCGGTGTCATTGTCCGATCTGACGCAAAGTACCTCGCGTGTCTGCTGTCCTGTTAAGTGATGAGATGACAAAGTTAGATCAGCCAAAATATAAATTGCTAGTTATGGAAAGAGGCTAGCACAGGATTATATCCAGAACAGATAAATTGCTACAGCTGTTATAGTTCCTTGTAAGTTGGCGATTCTTAACGTAACGAGCTAACTAAACTAACGATAACTAGAGTGAAGATCATTGTAAAAATAACCACCTGTTGTGCAATCTGTCCAATTTGATGTGACCCAGGAACAGGTTGCTGACTCAGGAGATTCGTTCTCCTCAAGAGGCCTCAAATACTGATAGTCGATACCTACGTTTGCTTCTGACAAATGGGCAAACTATACGAAAAATAAAAAATATCAATCAGTGTAAGTTAGGAGTAGAACGAATTGTCAAAAGAAGATGACAATAGGAAAGTAATATCGAAACAGATAGAAACACAAGAAATGGTACCATTACATTCAGTAAACATCGAAAGTCATGGTCATCAATTCAAGAAATCTTACAAGTAAACAAGCTATTTTTTATACTTTTATTCCTAAAGACAACAGTTGAGACATGTAATGTGTTTTAAACGTTTGAGTCATTGCACGAGATCTTGGGGGTTTAACCCTATGTACTCAGCATTTTAACATACTGTATTTATTCGATTAACCGCCCGGACGTTTATTAAATTTTTGGACCTCGAGAGTGGGCGCTTATTCAATTTTCACAATTTCAAAAAGTGTAGTATGTTTATTTTGGAACAAAAATAATGGTAAATGGTAATAACAAAACTCGAACATGTAACAAAGCAAGGTTTCTGTAAAATAGTCTGAAGAAAATTCCGTCTTCGAGGAAGTGTCTTATTAGTAACTATTTAATTTTTTTTCGGTTGGGAGGTGAAAGAGGGTGGGGTTGGGGTGGGCGCTTATTCGACGCTGGGCGCTTATTAACTTTTTCTGTCTTTAGGATGGGCGCTTATTAGAGGTGGGCGCTAATTCGAGGTTGGGCGCTTAGTCGAATAAATACGGTAGTTACATTAATTCAATATTATTAGATTTCTTTTTTTCATGTTCCTCTTGACCTCATCATAGGATTGGAGAGAGTTGAAGACTACATTCAGTTCTAATCAATACTTACAACTATTCTAAGAGGCATGTTTGTTGGACCTTCAATTTCCAAGCGGTCAGGAAACTTAGCATCATTAATGTAGGTTATTTTTGTACCAGCTTTGTATACAACTTTGCCCCACCAAGAAGGAATAGGAATCAAGTCATTTCCCTCCTCATCTTGAACACCTGAGCGGAAAATGCACAGAAAAGGTGAAAGACACTGTCTGTGACTTGCATTTGTAATTTTTTTTTTTTTTTTTTGTATTTTTGCATTTATCCTTGGTTAACTTATATTGTTCTTATTACTAAAAGGGGTATTTTTGATAAGGAAATAGAATAGTTGATCCTCACGAAGTCATTTAAAATGTGGCCTTCTAACTCGCTGACAACTATCACCGTCAGTGTTAGAGGCGTCAGAGTTACCCTGATTCATATAATAGCGCGCTCAAGTAAGGCCACTTGGCTTAAAAGTGTTAACTATTCTATTGACTCGAGTTTCAGCAAACCATCTGACCTTCGTGTCAGTCTGAGTTCTTATTGCCAGTTCATGGTATTTTAATAGACATTCTAATCGTTCAATTTGGCTTCGAATTTAAAAAACGTAAGTGTGTTTAATTCGTCTTTTTGTCTTTGAATAAAAAATGTAGATCTTATTTAATGAGATTAAGAATAAAGGTGCTTACCAACACTCAAAACTGGCCGACTAGTAAGATATCCCTTTAAGCATTAGACACTAGTCTGAGGTCTCTCGCTTTGTTTAACTTTTTTGCAGTTCTTGTTTCACTCAAAACTGCCAAAACGTCGACTGTATCTGTTTTGTTTGTTAATTGCCTTTCCTACTTACCAATTAAATTATAGGTCTTGCTTCTTTCTTCGAAAACAGCATTAGCAGTGTGCACGGGTAGTTCAACAATGGTATCAACAGGGCTGTAAGCTGAAATATCGATGAATGGTAAATGGAAAATGAATTGAAACGATTGATTTTTTCCTGTGAAGACAACTCAAGACCTTTACTGTACGACACACACACACTCTCTCTCTCTCTCTATTCGTTAACTTACGAAATCTGAGGTAGATAGAGGTGTTGCGCAGAGCTCAACCCAAATACACACCTGAAAAAGTGTCTAAATAATCTATTCATAACAACATGTTTATTTCTATCCCAACATACACTACAAGATCATTTCTCATATTGTTGTTCATCTACGTTACGCAATTTCCATAAGGACAAACTTATTAACTTGTTAATGTTACCATATCGGATGTAGTTCTCGGTATAGGTGGACTTCACCAAGGTACAGGAATCTCCATCGCCACCACAAACTCCACATCGATCTTTGTCCTTTCCCGAACTCAAGACGTGATCACAGCCTACGGACTGTAGAAGAGGAACGCAAAATGATTTAAATTTATTAACAGTATGAGTTCTTCATTCGATCGTGCGGATTAAAGCAATGCACCGATCTGCTCTCCGACCCAAGTTTCCCAGAGTGGCTACACCTAATGTGCACCAGGTTAATGTATACGCTTTCCAATTCTAAGAAATAAAACACACACACACACTCAAAGAAAAAAAATGCTTTAGAATACGGTGCAATTGCGAGTATATCCCCAAAGATCGATGTTACTTGGGGTCAAAACCTGGTGTCAAAACTAGCTATCGGGTACAACAGGTTTAGACGTGAGTTTAATAGTACCTGGCATTGTCCATTTATGCAGACATCATACACAAAAGGGTTTTGGTGATCACATCGAGTCCCGTCAGCCACGTTACCATAAGTGCGAACTGAATTTCCTGATAGGCAGGTAAGTGTGCATGCACTGACGCCTGAAATAAAAAGATACACGCATATGAAAACCAATTTAATTTCGCACAATAGGTTTAATATTCAGTCTCAATTTCACTTGAATTTCATACTTTCACATTCTGAGGTTCTCTGGAATTCTTTTAATCACATGCAAAGCGCCCTAAGGTTTAGCGGAATTTCATTCTCAGCGGCGTTAAAGACTTTCGAGTTTACAAATCCTATCGAACAACCCACCTCCTGGCTTTCAGATCAAGTTTTTGTGGGGACGTTTGACAAAGGCCTACCGAGGGACCCCTACCGAGTCACAAACACACACCACATCAAATTCGAATTAATCAGGATTCAACTTATAAAGTAGCTATAACCTTCAAAAGTGCGCGTACACTACCTTGTTGGAATTAATAATAATAACAATAATAATTAAAGTTCTTAAAAACGCATTCTACATTTAATAGAATATTTTAAGAAGTTAACCTGATATGTTGTATATACCTCCAGTTGTAATTTAGTCTTTTTTTAAATAACCAAATCCCCTGTCCTTGAATTTATGTGTAAGGTGTTTCTTTCTGTATGTTATTGTATTTCTTTTCTTTTCTTTTCTTTTTTCTCATGTAATTTAATAACGTCTTTATTTAAAGTCTTGTCCTGCCTAGATTAGCATTATAGCTATTTGCAGGACATAAAGTATTGTAACTTTATATTTCTTTAAATAAATACATTGTTGTTGTTATAAATGTCTCGATGCTTTTTACAACTAAAAGAAAGAGCTCTCACGAAAAAGATACGTTTTTAAGAGAACATCAATACTGTTCTTTAACAACCAGGTAGATTTTGGATCCAGAGCACAACTGAATGAATTAAGCTTTTAGACAATATAACATGTTTGTGGAAAAATAGTTTTGCGCACCAGCGGAATGCTTCTTGACCTTAATCTAGTTTTAACTATTTTATTTCATACTTGATATGTGATAGAAGGTTAAGGTTGAATCAATTTCCTGACACTGGATGTTGCGATATGTTGGTTGAGTGGGTGGACAAGCAACCTGAAAACGAAAAGGAAAGGCTCCAGAATTCTATAACTTAAAAATATAACGAAATATATTCGTTATTTCGACCATTAACTTCCTTTCAAAGATGCGGCCAGAAATAATCTTCTTCCTAAATTAAACCGTGAGTACGACTGGCAGAATGCCTGGTGAGACAGCTGTCAAGTAACAACTATCCTAACTCATGATTAAACAGCAACGGCATAAATTATTAGATAGTTTGGAGACCCCTTCTCACATTACCTCACTACCTTTTACTCACATTACTATTGCATATTTCCCAATGAGCTTTCGATGGCCCAGCACAGTTTTGACCTCCATTCTGAGGGCTGATAAAAAAAAAGTTTAATAAAAAGTTTTAAAAAATTGTCATGGTAGGACGTTTTTGTTCCATTTGCTATTTTTTTGTTGTTTTTGTTTGTTTCTCACTTCAGTGTTTTGCCTAAAGTTATGATTAATTACTGTATTTTTTTCCTGATCTTTTAGAAAAAACAGAGGTGCATCCAGAATATTCAGAAAGGGGCGGCTTGGACACTTGCCAATTATATACCATTTATTTTATTGAGAATTCTTTAAAAATATTTCGAAATTGCCCAAAAAAAGAAGAACTGCGATCCACTGGACTTGCCTGCGTGCAGACGTCTCCTATTTCCTTTGTTGCACGCGGAAAAGGGACGTCTGAGTGACGCCGTCGCTACTCGTGTTCCAGCGTCCCACTGGGTTCCCAAGATCTTGGGAACTTGCTGTGATAGGCTGACACACAGTGCGCATTGTTTGACTTAACGCTGATTGGTTGTTATCGAATCTGGACTGATAATGTATGCGGTGATTTATGTAATCGGCGTTTTCCAGCCAAAACAAATGAAAACATGTGCCATTGTGTGCAGACCGTTGAAATCTTGTGCGAGGACGCGGAAAATTTAACGTGTGCGAGGAAATTATTTCTTTACAATTACTGTGCATGACACATCACATCATATTTGCAAAGAGTGCCTGAGAAAACTACAAAAGCGGCGTGGACTTCGCATTAGGCAGGTATTTCGGAAAAAACCAGCCAAAGAAACTAAAATCTTTATTTAGCCGTAGCAAACAGAGGTCAAAGAAAATTTAAACACTTTACAACTGCATCTGAAATCAAATCCTATCAGGAACACCCACAGAAGCATAAACCACAGGAAATGATTACTCAGTATGCATGTAACAAACCTGCTTCATGACCTCTAAATGTAAGACTTAGTGCGGCAAAAACGAGATTTACTCAGTCAAAGTTTAGAATGCTACATGCACTGTGTAGTGCTAGTAACCGCGCGAGAGAGAAAAGAAGAAAAACCTCTGTTCAGGCAGATTCTCAAGCTCACGTTTCGCATTATCAAGAGCTTATGATGTTGTGTTTGGCCTGTCAACTCTTATTTCTAACCGGATATTATTTCACAATTTATGCGAAATAGAATACCCTGCCAGCGGGAAGCTGGAACACGATTAGCGACGGGGTTACGCAGACGTCCCTTTTCCGCGTGCAAAAACGGAAATAGGAGACGTCTGCACGCAGGCAACACTGGACCAACCCTTAAATCCGCCCGTGGAAAATTCTTATGTTTATTCTCCTTATAATTTCAAAGCAAGGCCAAATGAATCGTTTGTCAGTAGAAGCAAAGCTGTCAACGACTCTCAGTACTGAAACCTTCTCCCAAAATAAAAAAAATGAAAGAAGTCCCATTGCGTTTAGGCCTCTTCTATCCGCTTCACTTACGCTGGGTTAGTGCATGTTCTTTCTCTGTATCGCACCCCTCCTTCACAAGAAGGAGAGCACGTGGTATAGTCAGACCACTCGGTCCAGCCTCCGTCAGTCTTCGGTGTGCCATTATCTACACAGGCACCTTTGATGCACCACTTAAAAAGAGGGAAAATCAGTTATATTCCAAATATGTGTTACTGCACTCTCTCGGAAGGCTAGGGGTTTAACTTACCTTGCGCATTCCACAAGGCGTTCCTTCGAGGGGCAATATAAAGGAGGACAAACATGTGTAGCCATCTCGGGTACAATGCAGGGCCTCGCATGAATCCTGGAAATTTAACAGAAATGAAAAGTTAATTTCAATATTCCAGCAGAATATGCTGGACTATACTAGGCGTAGTATACGGCCTTGCTTTTCATGAGTCTCTCCTCTCGGTGGCTCAGTGGATAGAACTCAATATCTAACGTTCACATGTCATTGGGATTTACGCATTAATTTCATTCTAATACTCTCTTGTAATTGCTTGTTAAGTGCTTGGTTCGCCGATAAAGATTCTTTAATTTTTTTAAAACATATAGTCGACTCTTTTTTACCTCGAGATTTATATGTGGACATCTTCTATACCCAGTACCATAATTGTATTCGCATTGTGTATCTGCGTCAACTAGTTCCCCTGGCAGCCTTGTGTAGTAGGACTCTGGTGGAATAGGACGAGTAGATGAAGGAGCATCATCCAGGCAAAAAGAATCATCGCTCCTTTGTAAGAAAAAATGAAGTAATAACTAAACTTACCAAATTAACTGCGTTACTGGTTAACCTTTTTTAACACAAAATGGCATTCACTGAAAAAGCGGGTGGGTGAACTAATGCTTAAGAAAACTGATTTGTTTATTTGTTGACATGACACATCCACATCTTCAATGTGTTACAAATTATTGTCGCCATTTTTGTCTAGTCCATTCTTCTATTCTCGAACTATGTAATTTCCTTAGCTATTTAAGGGTGGGAAATTATGCAATTATTAAAAGTTGAGTTTCAAGAAATTAAAATTTCTTCTCGTTGCAAACGTTAAAATTGATTACGAAAACGATCTCCTATTCTCGGCAGTCTCTCCTTTAGTCGCCGCGACCGAAACACTGTGAAGACTTCTCAATAAAAAGTCTCGAAATACATCACCACGTTTTGAAGTTTCAGTAGAGTACAGTTTAAACTTGAAAGAGAACGACTCTGGACTAAAATTTCGTATACCCAAAAAAGTTACAAGCAGCTGGTTTGCAAAGTCAATATTCTAACAAAACTATGGACATTTTTAACATTCTTTCAGGTTTTTTCATAGATGACAAAATGTATTCACATACGAGAGGAAAGTTTGAATGGCAGCCCTGCTGCAAGAAGACCACTGCAAGGCCCCAGGGCCCGCTATAAGCGTCGACGACATGATGTTGATATAATTTGGACAATCGGCATTTCCATCATGATCAACGCCAAGACTGTGAAAATAAATAAAATAACATCATAACAGAATTAGACGTTTATAACGTTGGTTAGTACTTTTTACAGGTCCACAGTTTTAAATCAAGAAAATGATTATAAGTTGATTTTAACCAATAGACAGATTTTATTTCTTGGACAATAGGAGTGACCTTGTTCCTCTGAATTGAGAAGTCTACAAAACGGGGCTCGATGCCAAAGCAGCATCCAAGCCACAGAAGCCAGTACTTACTTGTGAGAAGTCTCATGTGCAATTGTGTAAGCAGTTTGCAGTCCGTTATCGCTGTTTACATTAACCAGGTCATTGTGAGGGCAAACTGAATTGTACACCACCGCCACTCCTAAAGATCCAAAACAGAAACGTTCAGAAAATTGCAAAAACTATATCTAGGACTTTTCTAGCGACCCAAATATACAAAGTGGGCTTACTATATAACGCCGGTAAACCACCAAAAATTTTTAGATTGCTATATTGCTTTTATAAAAGCTCTGCGAAAACAATTGAGCTAAAAAAAACCCTCATGTCCAGGGCTTCTCGGTTGCTGTACCTCTTTTTAGCAACATTATGGCAACAGCCTGCACTACTGACGTCATTTTAACAAAGATCGCTAACGTCTTCATAATTTGGTCAACACTAGCTGGTTATGAAGAATTAACCGAAGGATACAGTGTCAGAAAGCCAGTCAGAAACGGAGTAATATTTTGAATGAATGATAAACTATGATATTATAACAATAGTATACGACATAGATCATCTCAAGATTTGGGCCCTTTGACTTTGAACATATAAAAGCCGTTGCTGAACATATTTAACTACATATAGTGTTACAAGCAGTAATCGAAAGAATATGGATTTATCCCATTATTATTCTAAGAGAATAAAGGAAGAAAAGAAATTGAGACTCGTTTTGATCACCCACTAAGAAGAAAGAAGAGGTATAAAAGTCATATTCCTTACCTCCAATTCCAGCGCTTTGAGGATAAAATACAAACAGTAAGAGTAATCAGAATCAATGGATATAACAAATTATTATTTTGTTAGAAATATTTTTAAATAACCTACTTTGAAGCATATTTTCTTAGGTGTAAGCCTACGTGGAAGCCGACGCCCTCATCGTGCGCCCAATTGGGTAGACGGATGTTGAAAAAAAAAGAAAGAAAATTGGTAACTTAAGCATGCATTATTTTACCTTTTAAATAATTGTGTCATCTGTCATTAATTAAACTAGATCGTTTCCTAAATGAAATAGGCCACTTCCAAGTTCCAAAAACCCTCAGTTTCAAAATAAGGCAAAGTGCACAACCTTTGTTTTATTTGCATGAGAATGGAAAATCATTTCCATATCAAAGGCTGAGCACTAAGCACCTCGTTTGGAACAGAGGCCTGGGCCAGGGAAACTCAGAAATGGCCTATTCATTTATTTGGAGAAATAGGTTTTGTTCTCATGAAAAAAATATATATTTTTTTTATCTGGACACACTAAATTGACTTGTGTGACGTGGTAAAAGACATTCGCTTTTTCAGTATAAAATATTATCAGTTGGTAATAATGATGAGTCAGGTTACCTGCGAACAAGAGAAGCAACATCGAACTGAAGTGGATCAGATGCGTTATTTCTGTTGTTATTACGAGCCCAGGCTTCCAGTTTTTGGATCACAGTCACCTGACTTACACCTGAATTTGAAGGATCAACTCCAAGCTGAAAATCAGGGAGGTAAAGCCAAAATTACTATAAGCACTGATCGATTGATCGTAAGCAATTTTTTAGGGTGTTTACAAACATCACAGTTAACCGTAAAAATGTATTGCCATGGCCATAGGACTGAAACACGGCGACAATTTACCCCTTCACTTCCAAGAGCGGCCTGAGCAGGAACCCTGGCCTAAGTCAAAATTTAACAAAATCTCCTTATTTCATTTTGTAAAGTGATGAAAAGCAAATAGTACTGGCTTAATGTGACATTCTTGCAAAAGAGGTTTTATTGAAATGTTCCACATAACGCAGGAATTTGACCACAGATTTAAAAGTTGAAGAACCTTACAAGACTCTACCATTCACTCTGGTACTGAAAGGGTTAATCAGACTATTCACTGGAAATTTAATTAACTCAAATAATCAGTTTTTAGCTGTTTCATGCTCTTACAGGCAAATTTTGTAAAGCTGTTTAAACATTTTTAAGTTTCAACGTAAGTCGGTAGTTGAAAAGAATGTCACGGCACCCTATTTCACAATAATTAAGTTAACATTCTGAAGATCGGTGACATTAAAACTTGTGGATTCAAAAGAAAAAACAACATTGTATAGCTTCAAGTCACATCCTCCTCGTATCAGTGACTCTAAATGAATTTAACCTTTGGTGGAAAAGAAAGCAGAGGATGAATATTACAGTAATACCTCTTCGTTTGTGATAAGGACAAGACGCGTGATTACATAATTGATTTTGATGTTTCCAACAGTTACACCATAGAAAAGTGAATTCACCTGAAATTTCAAAAAAAAGTAACTGACTTAGTAATAGCCTTTCAGGAAACATTTCACAGGCGGAAATAAAATAAGAATAAGATAGACACAAATTTCATACCCCTGGGGTAATTTCCGTATTTATTCGATTAACCGCCCTGGGCGCTTATTAAATTTTTGGACCTTGAGAGTGGGCGCTTATTCGAGGCTGGGCGCTTATTAGATTTCACCATTTTCAGCAAGTGAAGTGTGTTTATTTTGCAACAAAACAATAAATGGTAATAACGAAACGCGAAGATGTAACAAAGCAAGGTTTCTGTAAACTATCCCTACTCTGAAGAAAACTCCGTCTTCTTTTTTATATTAATACTTATCCAATTTCCATCTCATTGTCACCCAAGTGGGTGGGGTTGGGTGTGGGAGCGTATTCGAGGCTGGGCGCTTATTAACTTTTTCTGCCTTTAGGATGGGCGCTAATTATTCGAGGTGGGCGCTAATTCTAGGTGGGGTGCTTATTCGAATAAATACGATATGTTGGGTGGTGAGTGCGAAGATTCAATTTGTGATCATTTCTTCCGTGACCAACAAACGTTTCTCTTCAGTGATACTGACGATGCCAAATTTACTTTTCCAGTAAAGTTTCCGAACATTGAATCGAATTTCTCCAATCAGCTTAACAATGCAAACTAGGGAAATAAGATAAGCTCATGTATCAGCCAAAAATATTACCACCCTACGAGTGCCTTGATTCTTCTGGATCGTACAGAAGAAGGCACCTTTGAATACTCCTGATACAGTCAAACCCGGAGGGGAGCATAGAGAGTGTCAGTATTTTAAAAAAAGGTGTCTGTATCAAGCGGGTTGAATTTAGAGAAAATGTAAGCCGGGCTTTCTTTCCCCAGGGACAAAGCAAAATGTCCGAAATAATGAGGTGTCCGTATTAAGCGGGTGTCCGTAAAGCGGGGTGTGACTGTACATCGTGATCATCAGGTAGAGAAGTGGTGGGAAATCTTTTAGGATAAAATGAAAATGAACGTATAGTATGTACATCTGGTTTTAGCCTTACAATGCTGCCTAAAAGCAGAAGAAATTCCTCAGTTTTATTCCCGTGAGCTGAAACAACATGTTCGTCTGCCAGTAATGCTACCTCCAGGTACTTGTCGATTAGTAGGCCTTCATTACTATTCGCGTCTTCTAGCTGCTGGTTTAGGCCTCGTTTTGAAAACTTGTTCATCTCTAAGGGTGGATTAAAATCATGAGCGATTAATGTTAAGGAACGTCTCTAGACTAAGTGTATTGTTTTCCTTCATTCTACTTACAGTTCCTTGAGATCACTTAATATCTCAGAATGCTCGAAAAATGTATTTCCTGTAACAGATTTAAGCACTATTCACTCACAAGTATCTTGAGCAGTCCTATCAGCGAAGCTTTGTTTACACTTTTTGCCTCATTAACATATGCTTATCACTAACTGATGACGTTAATAAAATATAAACTCTGAATATTGAAAGGGCATAACAGTTTCAGTTATCTCTGAAAATTTGAGCCCAATACACCGAGTGGTTTCAGAGAAATTCTCTTCTAAAAGCTCGAAATTTTACAGACAATTTATGGCTCTAACTTTTTTGCCACCCATCAGTTGCTGATATTTCCTTCAATGTTGCTGGCAAAGAGCTGAAAATTGCACAAATTTCTCAACTTAATTTATCGGCCCTTTCAACTTTTAAGTTTAGTTCGTATTTACGCCCACGGCTTCTATGAGTTCAGTCGTATGCTAATGAGGAAAAATTTAAACAATGACGTCAGCAAAGATTCGCCTATTCAGGACTGCGCGGCCCACCAAAGCGGCCATCATGAATTCCCCTTGTTAATCCACCTACTTATTACAAATAGTTCAAACCATTTACAATTATTTTCACTCACTTGTGTGACATTCAAAGTCTTCCCGCAGAGGTCTCTGATACACCACATGCGGTATTCTTTCGCTTTCGTTTCGAAATTGTAAAGCCAAGTGTTCGGGTAGAGGATGGACGACCATGGCGTCACGTGATCGTTTAATGAAACCAGTCTGTCATAGCAAAGCAAATACAATCGTTTACTGAATCGTCACACAATACAACATTGATTATGCAGTTTACAAGGAACAGCCACAAAAAATCACTTTCCGGTGTTTTTCTTTGTTTGAGTACTCAAAAACAAAAAAAGAACGGAATAATTTGTATTGAAAAAACATGAGAAAACAGCCGAATTTTTGCGACGCCACTGCTGCAGGTTTCTTTCGAAATAACGTCTTAGAAAGGAGTTTGAAAATTCCATACTGATGACGTGTCACTGTGCAGATCTGGGTAGATAGTGCTTCTAAATGGTTAAAACGAATCTAACTCGCGGTGCCATTAATAAGAAGCTCTACCCAGAACTAGGGATACTGGCATGGTGTGGAATCAGTTCTGCAGTTGTTCATCAGATGTCATTTCGCAGGGAAACCTGTGGTGGCATCGTGAAATATTGGCTGTTTCCTCAAGCTTCAAGTGTAGCAAAAATAGTTTTTCTGCAGACTTGTCATAAGAGGATTTTGAATAGCTTCTATTGATCTTTTTACACCGTGTAATTAAAAGGCATTATTTCATTGTAGAAATCATTTGATTTAAGCTTGAATATCAATTCAAAGTACAAATGACCAATTACCATTCCATCCCCAACACTCAAAGCTACTAAGGAATCTGGTTCCGAGTCCACCTGCCCGGTCACGTAAAAGGTATTTTCAGAGACAGGTCTTGTAGTTCGCCTTCCATCTTGATCACGTGATTCTAATTGAAGATCCGGTGCCATAAACTTTGTGTTACGTTTAACATGAAGACGCATTTGTTCTCCAAAGGCGTTGAGATGGTAATTATACTGAATACCACTGCCTTTATCATCAATCCCTCTTTTCAGCAGCCGACGGTGGTTTAGAGAATTAAATGCAAGGCCTCCCTTTTCGTCCACCTCGAAGGGAAACGTGACTTCGTATTCAGGAACTTTGGAAAAATGGTATTAAAATGTTACTATGTATGTAATATTACAATTCATGCGGAAAAAATGACTCAAAATTTCACCTAAGTCGATTAAAATGTCCTTTATTCATTTCAACTATACCATCCATCCAATGCTGTACTCCAAAATAGTGTTTGATTTCCGCTCTCGTCATTTGATTGTGAAGAGTAGACTACAAGGGATAATGAAACTGTATCAGATAACGTGTAATTTTAAAGATATTAATGTTAATCTTTTCAATAAAACCATGTCACAGTACGCGCCGGGAATCTTGTTTGAGTTCTAGGGATCAAAAGCATTATTTGTATTGAATTGCATAAAGTTCTTCAATAGCAGATGTCAGCTACAAGGTTTGGAAACATTCTCGGAATAATCGAAAATCTGAATGGCTCCAAGGATATTTTTTAGACTAACGCTGGGTAAAGACAACACCAAAAATAACGAAAATGAATAAAAATAAACGCAGGAGATATATTTTGTTATTTTCAACTAACCAGCTCTCCGGTAAAAGGCAAATTTCAAGTGGCAGCCTAAGAAATCTTATCTTTTGGAATCCGTTTAAAGCCATAATAATCATGTTTTCCATTCTGACTTCTAAATATTGAGAAAACTGTAGTTGCACATTGTTAGTTATAGGCTTTATAATCACCTCTCCTCCAGTGGCACGATTTTCTCCTAAAAATTTAAAGTTAAAAAGGAAAGAAAAATATCAATTAACTTTAAAACAGCCAGTGAGGCTAGTCAAAATGACATAACCATAACAATTTCGAGACGACTTAAGTTCCCCTGGGACATCTGAACAGATAAATAGTTTTTAGGGCAGCTTCAAAGTAACCAATCACGCTTCAAATCATAGAGAAAACCATTTGAGACACTCCTGACGTATTTGGAAACAGTCGGTCGTTGGGTAACCGTGGTAACTGACATGTACGTTACTAAGTTAAGTTCTAGTCGTCTTATTTACCTCTGGGGATTTGCCAGGCAAAGCAGGATATGGCCAATACCAATACTGGCATCATCATTATGGCGCTGCTGAAGAAGTTCAAAGGAAGATATCTATTAATTGATCGTATTTGTAGTTGGTCTAATGCAACAACAGGGATTATTTATATTAATAAATAAAACACTCTCTAACAATTGGATTTCACTCAGTACAGTCGACTCCCGGTGAATCGAACCCTCTATAACTCGAAACCTCCCTCTAACTCGAAGCAATTTTCATTCCCCTTCAGATCATATTCTATATCATTTTACCCTCGACAACTCGAACTCCCGATAACTCGACTGTTTTCAAAATTGTGCTACACTAATATGAAGGTAAAACTGAATCCTAATATTACCTCAATTCCATAAAAGCATTGGGTAGATGAAGGCTCTTCAGAGTTTTCTGATAAAGCCAATCAATCAACAGTCACTAATTGTCGTGCCAAGATTACTGGCATTTTCCAAGTTTTTTGACAGATAACTTTCGTTTAGTGGTGGACATAAAAGCCTTGATGTCAGAAATGAATGACGCAATATTTTGAGACCTATCAACACAAGAGCAAAGAAAAGAGACCGCCGTGTTGTTCATATGCCGCTATTATAACTTACAAAGAAAAAAACCCAAACGAAAATAACAGAGAGAGATGATAATCGACAGAGTACTGATTGGACAACAAACAGCTTTTCAAGAGTCAGCGAAAAATGATCAAAATCAATTTAGTTTTACAACAGTTAAAGCTGCTTCTTTTCATCTATAAATTGTTGAATTAAAGCGAGCGGCATCATTATTGCTGCTCATTAAGACATTCCACCAGATATTGGCACTCATCTAAATAGGCTTAGTTTATGCTATTGACCGATCGGTTCTGGTTCCCGGCTGTCCGTTAATAATATTGTGTTACAAATATGTCACTATGTACTAAATATTAAAAGCAAAAAACAAACCAGTCCGAATAAAGTTTTCCGGAAAATTCGTGATCTTACCTGAGTATTCGCCTCAGATTGCGCAGTCCACTGTTTACTCTTGAATGTATAAAGTATCAGTGACAGTTTAAGCTAAATGATACGATTATGAATCTTATATACTTAGACCTTCAGGAAGTGTGTTCGGTTATCATTACTTGTTGTTTATTGGGGCAGATGTCAGAATCTCTTCATTTCCCATGTACACCTTTAATAGACAGGAACCGGGGCAACTTTTCGATATCAGTTCTTTCTTGACGCAAGAAATATTAATTTATTCCCTGAGGCAATTAGAACTTATTTCTTAACCTTATAATTCTAGTACTCTAGACCTTGAATTATTGGACGGTGCAAATTGTTAATAATGTTATCTTGTGTAGGTTTCTACTCTTTTTTCATCTATACTAAATGTTTAATGAGCAGCCTTACGGAGACTAAATCGAAGACTCCAGGGGGAAAAAGTAATGTCTCTATTTTGATTTTAGCGACTAAGACGTAGCAATGTTTTCCATCCAGACGTGCATTATGAGATTAACAAGCATCATTAGATGTTAAGTGTTATCGAAGTTTCATTAATAACTATTATCAGTTATTAAATCTTATGTTAATACTTTAAGGTATCGGAACACATGATCTCGTACCTGTCTACACGTGTTACATAAGGTATGTGCACAACTCTAACTTCTATCAAGCAGCCTTCATATCCTGCCCGAAATTGAGCCGAAATTGTAATTAATACAATCCAAGTATATTTTAAATTGTCGTACGCATGTTCACCTTCTGACCGGTAAACCTTTAATCGGAAACTGTTTAGCATGGGCTTCAAAACTTTATCGAAACTAAGCACAGGACTACCTTTTTGAGGATAAGTGTTTGTCTGCACGACCAGAGACGATTATTAATCGCAAAGCCTAAAGGTAGAGAAAAAACAATAACAGGTGAAGGGCAAAATATAAGATGTAAAAATAAAGAATCATGCCGAAGAGAGCTAAGTTTTGTAAACATAAAAAAGCTTGTCAAATGAGGACCCCTTTGTGTTGATCCATTCCAGTCTTAAATCGCCAGGTTACCATTAGGTAAGACCCTGTGTCATGATAATACTTAATCATAACGGCCATCAAAATCCCGGTTCCTCTGCCGTTGTTGTTCTCTTCAGCTGTAAATCCCCTGTTGATTGATAGCACTTCTCTAATACCGCTACCTACTCCTTTTGACGACAAATTAAGTCCACCAGCTCTCTAACTTACAACTCTAATCAGCCACTTTCTTTTTTGAAGGTATCCCCCAAACCACCCTTGCAAATCCTCCCTGAGGGCAAATAGGCGATTTCCAGTACTTTTAGTTATTTTTTCCACGTACATCCTAATAGTATTAGCAACTATTGCTAGTCCATCTGATACTTGTAAGATCGATAATGACAACGCAACATATTTTGAAATCTAGAAATTTACGCATGTGCAGGCCCTTTCAATTTTGCTTGTGTTGCGTTTACGGTTCTACTCGATTTTCTTTCAAGGTTTTCAATGCGCAAAACCCCAGCACGCAGCACATATACAATTCAAATTTCAAAAGTTAACAAACGAAGGATTAGGGGACTTTAACGATCATGTTTTTAATATTTTTGGAAAATGGAGATTATTTTTCCTTCCATACTTACATGTAGCGTATTTGAATCGTATCTGCCCGTCCACATGAAACGCTAGTATACAAAATACGATAGTATCCCTTACAGTGCATCCGTAATGTTAGTAGTATATGATGTGTGATTTCATAGGATTCGAAAACCACCGTAAACGAGCTGCCTGCGTTTTAAAAAAATCTTAAAACGGCCTTTACGTGTGGAAGAAAGCTAAAACGTAGAAAACATCTCCCTTTTTTTAAAATATCCTCATATGTGTGGACGGGTCCTAAGTCCTACAGAAGAATGCAAGCTTGTTTTTTAGGTTCTTCGTAAAATAATCAAAAATAGCATAATTAGGACTCGATAAAATTTAGATTTGGAATCAAAGTGTCTAATTTAAAAATAATGTACTAGTTACGGCAGGTAGAAAACGTAGGTCACAGGTCCTAAAATGCGGGATAATGTGCAGCCCACCGTGCTACGGTACATAAACAACACTAAAAGTGTCTGATTGCCCTAATCAAAAATACAGTGTTAGCTTAAAGCCTCGTGCAAACAAATGCAACATTGTTGGCAAACAACTCCCAACATTATTGGATGTTACATGTTGTGTCCGTTTGCACATCCTTTTGCATGTTGTTGGGTGTTGTTGGGAGTTGTTGCGTTCGTTTGTACGTAGCCACGTCGCGGGAGGGGCACCTTGGGCTCATTGTTATTTACTTGTTTAAAGCGTATGCACGAAATACAACGACTGAGGCCCCATCCACGAGTATCCGCTTTTGTTTGAAAACGGAGATTTTTTTCTCGGGTTTGGCCTACCGCAAGGGCGGATCCAGGATTTTTTTTAGGAGGGGGTGCACTCGTCTCTTGCTCAGTCTACTTCAACACCAATAAACCACATAGTTTTTTTTTGCAGAATACCAGTTGTATTAGAAAACCGCAGGTCATCTCAGGGGGGGGGGCACCCCCTGCACCCTCCCCCTAGATCCGCCCCTGCTACCGTCAACACGTATCCGTTGAAAACGGTAACCGAAAACGCATCTTTTCAAAAACGCTCTCCAGAATGAATATTTTTGAAAACGCCTTCTATACTCAGATGACCTGGTATCATAATCAGCAAATGGATTAAGAAAAGCATTGTGCACACTTTCCAGATTCTGTAACAATTGAATGATGCGGAATAGAAACATCAAGAAAACAAAAATTGTAATCTTCCGAAAGAAACATAGAAAGTCGACCGCCTTAAAGCACCAATTTTACATTAACAATGAAAAAATCGAAATAGGTAGGTAGGTAGGTAGATTATTTATTTAAAACTCGGTAAAATCTTCAGTAATAATAGAGTAAAAATCTAATCACAATTAATTAGACTAAAAACTATCGACATACTGTTTTACAAGACTGCCGAGTGAGAGTCCGACGACTCAAATACATGTTTGATTTGCTCTTTAAATTTCCTGACTGATTTAGTTTCTCTCACATTTTCGGGTAAAGAGTTCCACAACAAAGCACCGCTGTAACTGAAACTTCGTTTCAAGTAGTTAGTACGCGGCCTGGGCAACGTCAATTTATGAAAGGAATTGCGCAAATCATAGTCTGTGCTTCGTTCGTGAAATAGGTTCTGCAAGTACACTGGAGCTTGTGCATTTAGAGATTTAAACATCATTATTGCTTTATGCTTCTTTCTCCTTATAACTAATTTGTCCCATTTGAGTATATCAAGAAGCAGGCTCGAGCTAGTCCCATAGTTGGCCTTTAAAATTACTCTAGCTGCATGGTTCTGTAACTTTTGTAATTTGTCACTCAGTTGATCACTTAAGCCATCCCAAACAAGGCTACAGTAATCAAAGTGAGGTTGAATTAAGGAGTTATAGACTAGTACCGCAGTAGATTGGGAGATAAGGGGCCTAATACGTCTAAGGGCACCTATAGCCGAAGTTACCTTCTTACACAATTCGTTAACATGATTAGACCAGGAAAGCCGATTGTCAATAATGAGACCTAATGATTTTGCGTGATCAACATTGCTGATAACTTGGTCTTCTAGTTTGATGTTTATTTCGTTATGGCTTTCCGCGAGAAGCTTCTGGCGAGCCAATAACCATAAACTCGGTTTTCGCAACATTAAGACTAAGCTTATTGGCTTTTAGCCAACAGTGAAGGTTCAGTAGTTCTAAGTTAGTCTCTTGTTCAAGGTCAGCTAGAGAGGAACCAGAAATGGTAATAGTTGTATCATCTGCGAACATTTTAGCGCATGCTGAATTAAGGCAGTTTGGAAGATCGTTTATATAGATTAAGAAGAACAAAGGACCGAGAATACTACCCTGTGGGACTCCGCATCTTAGTTCGCTTGCACTGGACAATACACCATTAACATAACATTTCTGGCTCCTGTTACCTAGGTAGGAGGCAAAGAATCGTAGGGAACCCAGATCAAGTCCATAGTTTGCAAGTTTATGTAACAAAATTGCATGGTCAATGGTGTCAAAAGCCTTTTTAAGATCGATATATACCACGCCATTTAAAAGGCCGTTATCTATGTTAATAGACCAGTTGTTCGTTGATTCAAGTAGCGCCGTCATGGTGCTATGGAGCGATCGAAAGCCGGATTGATAAGTATTCAAATGTTTGTTTTTATCTAGGTAATCGTAGAGTTGTTGATAGATAATTTTCTCGAATAGCTTTGAGACAATTGGCAATACAGAAATTGGTCTATAGTTATTCAGGTCAGATTTTGATCCTTTTTTAAAGATAGGAGTCACCTTGGCGATTTTCCATTCATCTGGAAAGGTTTCTGTTTCTATACAGCTATTAAAAATTTTCGTTAATGATGGTCCAATAATGGAACTGGCTAATTTCAGAAGTTTACAAGGAACTCCGTCCAATCCCATGGCTTTCTTTTCGTCAAGCTCACTTAGTAGTTCACACACAGTTGTGACACTAAGAGCCCTTAAGGAGAAGGCTGTTTTAGTGGGTTGTAAATAACTTTCAGGGTCGATATTAGAAGGTGATAATTTACTGGCTAGATTTGGTCCAATAGAGGTGAAAAAAGTTATTAAAAGCTTCTGCAATTTCGGGCGCAGAATTTATAGTTTCGTTATCTGTTTTAATTTCAGTGATATTGCGGTTTGTGCAAGATTTACGCGAGCTCAGTTCGTTAATTAGCTTCCAAGTTTTGGACGAATTCTTTTTATTCAACTCTAAGTTATGCAAAAATACTGACGTTTGGCTGATTTGATAGCATTGTTAGTTTCATTCCGCGCTTGCTTGTATTGTTCCCAACTAGCCGCATTGTTTTCGATAATAGCTTTCTTTTTCAAATAATTTCGTTTATAGATTTTACGCATCAGGTCATATGTAATCCACGGAGAATGCTTTTTGAGATCCGCTTTGTTTTCAGTGGGGCATGTTTATCGACAATTTCCATGAACAGGGTTTTCCACGCATCCCACATAGCAGTTGGATTTGGCTCTAAGCTAATTAAATCCCATGGCTGTTGAACAAGGTCATTTAAAAATTTGTCGCTGTCAATTTTTTTGTAATCACGAGTTTCGATAGTACGGTGCGTGCCAACACGTTCATAACGTATTTTTATAGTCATAAAAACCAGTGAGTGATCGCTAATCCCAAGATGAACGACACCAGAGTTAACAATTTTTTCGGGAGAATTAGTTATACAAGGTCAATTAATGTGCGTGATGTTGATGTAATCCTGGTTGGTTCAGAGATCATTTGGCTCAATCCGTAAATATCAAATATATTCGTTAAATTGGACGAAATGTGGTAGTTTGACCGATTGTGCAACATATCACAGTTCAGATCTCCCAGCAGGTAGAAATCGTTGTTTTCCGAGTCAATTTTATCCACCAGGATTTCAAATCGACTAAAAATGTCCTGGGAGGAACTTGGAGGTCGGTACCACGTGCTTACTAAAAAGGGTCTAGAATGCGGCCTAGTAATTTCGATAACAAGGCATTCGAGTTGGTTATCACTTAAGTCATGCCGTATATGATAATTTATGTTATTTCGTAAATATATACAAACACCGCCACCCCATCTCCCATTCACCGGACGATCCCTCCTAACGACTTCGAATCCTGGTAGAGATATTTCGGAGTCACCAATGGAACTGTCTAGCTTTGTCTCATTGATTGCAAGTATATCAATTTTAGAATCAGTCACAAATATCCTAAGGTCGTCAATATGAGCGAGTAAACTGTTTATGTTAAGCGATGCCATGACAAAACCACGACCGAATGAATTTAAAAATTTTGATGGCTTACCCTTACTAAAAGTGTACTTGCAGGACTCCCTGAAAGCATGTCCTCGTCGGACTCCCGCTCGACAGTATTCTAATCTCCTCTTAATTTTAAAAATTTAACAAAGTTAGAAGCCAATCGAGCAGTTCCTTTTGCATTCAAGTGGAGACCGCTTCTATTTAAGTCGTGGTCGGCGGAGATGTTGGAATGGTCAACATAGCCCCAGTCATTTTGATTACAAAATTTCCTTAGTATCTTGTTTACACCAGAGACTTTGACATCAAGGGCCTCCTCGTCTGCTCTAGACACAAGGCTAGAAATCGACAATTTAGCCGAAGATTCGTCGCTTATCATGTGGGCTAAATTAACGATCTCCTCAGCACATTCGCGCGCGGATGTGGATGAGCGAACTATTGGTACCAACGTGAAGTACAATTTCGTCTGGGTTTTCCGTAAAATAGGTCTAATGTGATCTCTCATGTCCTGAGTCGAACATCCCGGAAAAGAGGAAATCTTGACCTTAGCACTACTTGACATTTTCCTCCCTTGCAAGTTCTTTTAGGATGGAATCACCAACAACGAACACCTCTCTTTGCTTGCGTTGAGTACTTCGGCCACCACCTGAGTTCCCTTTTGTTCGCTCTGTATTTAATTGGCATGATGACGACGTCTTCGATTGTGAATGTCTCCCGTCTTGGTTTGTCTCTGTCGAAGGCTGGTTTTGTTGGTCACCGGTCTTCTTCTTTTTCCCACCAAAACAAAATCTTGAGTATCCTGGTACTCCGTGTCAACGCGGGAGTTATCAGGTTGCATGGCAAATGAATTGTGATACAAATCTTTGGAGACTATTTGAAGCGCTAGTTTCAATGAATCTCTTTCTTCTCGAATAGCTTTTAATTCTTTCTGTAGCTCGGTGTAGTGAACTCTAGCGGCTTGTAATTCTTGTTGTAAGGTGTGGTTCTCGTTCTTGACAGCATCAAGTTCTTGCAAAGTCTTCGAGTTATTTGCATATTGCATCGATTGCACACAGCTCCAAAGTTTGGTTACCTCAGTCCTTAGGTCGTTAATTAGACTCAGAATATTTACGTCAAGAGAGTGAGGGAGATAGGTTTAATAAAGTGGTCCGTTTCGTTGCTGGATGTCTCTGAGAGTTCAGGAGTGTCCACTTGTGATTTGTCGTCGTCCACAACAACATGGCGGTCGCTAACAACATCTTCGCTTTCATCGTTCAGGTCACAATTGGTTTTACCACCGTCCATAGCTGCTCGAAGTTTATCCTTTGCTGATTGAACGTTGCTTCCTTGAAGTTGTAACGTCCCAGTCTTGTAATAATTCACTGTCAAGGATTTTGCTTTTATCGATTTTCTTTGCTCGTTTTGAGTTATCGAGCACGTGGTGGAATCTATATCTAAAAGTTCGAAGCAAAAGATTTTCAACTCATCGAAGGAACCTCGCCACGTAAATGTGGACTTCTTTGAATTGTAGCTTAGTTTCTTTATCAGCGAGTCTGTAGTGGCTGGGTTGGGTTCAGAGCTGTTGTTCATAGCTGTTGAATCCAATGCTGCGCAATAAGCAATAACTGATGATAGCAATTAACACCTGCGTCGCCACTAATCGTTACACCTACCTTGCCGTAAAATTTTCTACAAATGGTAGTTTTAAAGACCACAGAGCAATCCTAAAAGACAAAGCCAAGAGATCCATAGTTGCAACTCGTCAGCACCTTGACTTCCTTAGACCTCCAATAGACATTTCTCACAACTTATTTAATTCACTGTATCTCTCAATTCTGATGTATGGCTCTGAGGTTTGGAGTATCTACGATAACAATGATTATAATTCATGGGAGAATGATATAATAGAGAAAACACAAATTCAATTCTGTAAACAAGTTCTAGGTGTGAATAAACAGTGTCCAAATATTGCATGCAGAGATGAACTTTGGCGACTAACACTGAAGGAAATAACTAAGGTAAATATTATCAAATGTTGTATACATTTAGAAAACAAACATGATGATCATTATGCCAAGCAATGTTTACAAATATCAAAAGATGTAGCTGTGAAAAGCCAGATCAGTCTTAGAAAAAAGTTACTACCTTATGCAATAATTCAAATCTCAATGAATTGTATTTAAATGATAACAACTCCTCAAAATAAAGAATATCCAATTAACTCTACTTGAAGAACTGACTTCACACTACATAATCTAAAGCTACGTACACTGGACGAAAAAACGGATTTGCCCAAGTTTGCTAGTTGAGCAAATCTATTGTAAATTTAGGGTACTAATGCTGCTACTTATTTGTTCTTGGTGCAAATTTTATTCGAAAGTGAAAGTTTACTTTTCTGCAAGGGTGGCGTAAATGTGGAGTAAATATCAAGTTTACAGATATTTTGTTTCACTTTTGCTCCCCATAGTAAATTTGTTGTTTAGATTCAAATTTGCCGCCATTTTGTTCTCTGTGTAAAAATCGAACGTCAAAAATGAATGTTTGCTTGATGTTTTCTGGCATAGCAAAGTTACTGTGTAAATTTATGGTTACTAGAGGCGTAAATTTAAGCAAAATATGATCAAAGAACTATCTTTACGACCACTTTAACCAACGTTTGCACATTTACCAAACTTCACACAGGGGCACCCAACGAGGATATAGTTCAAAACCAATTAACATAGCATTGTTGAACGTATTTTAGTATTTAAACGGTAGGTATAGGCATATTTTTATGCCCTAAAAACTTTTCATCTGTTCGGATTTCCTAGCTGAAAGTCTAATGATCCGAAAATTATAGGGATCAAAACTTACCTTTTCGAAAATTTCAGCCAGGAAAAGGCTCCCGAAAATTCTAGGTGGCCTTTTTCAGGGTAAATATCCGTTTAAAATGGGTAATTATACCATTTTGTAGATGTTCGAAAATCCTAGGAGAGGCAGGCAAGCAAGAAATTTTACAACAAATGTTCCGAAAATTCTAGTTCTCAAATCGTCTTCCGAACAGATATTTTCCCGAAAATTGCCGTTGGGTGCCCGTGTTCACAGTGTTATTTCACGCAAGTTTTGATTTTCCTTTGCCCCGTTTCAATCACCATCACATTCTTCTCAAAGTTTATCATATTACTTGCTGCAGCTGGTTATTTCGGGTAAGGCCATCCCCCCCTTTTTTTCGTTTAGCGTCGAATGCGTTTCCTGATATTGGGTCCCGGGGGGGGGGTACTCGCAGAAAAATTGGGTAGGGGTGTGCTGCCCGCTTCCCAAAACCCTTACCCTCTTTATGACCAAAATCTGCGATTTTCCCGACCCTATTTATGACCTAACCAAAAATTTGATACCCTATTTATGACCTGACCCTTAAATCAATACCCTCTTTCAGACCTGCCTTATAATTATTTCGCTATTTCAGACCACTGTTAAAGGTAATGTTTATCTGCTTTTATTAGGTTAGGGGGACATGATAAGGAAGTAGCTTCTTCTAAAAAAGTGCATTCAAGACTACAGTGTAAAAATCGTTACCCTATTTATGACCAAAATGGCGGCAAAATAGCCAAAATCGATACCCAATTTATGACCAAAACGGCTGAAAAACCCTACCCTTTGGGGCCACACATACCTATATAGCCCATATTAGGGAGTACACCCCCGGGTATTGGGTCGGTGGCTCGGAAAAAAAATATCACAAGAAGTCTCGGAATAGGAGGCCCTGACGTAAAACGTTACCATTTACAATTTGGGTGAACAAAATGCACAATATGTGAAAGGTTTGAACCCAGGAGTCATTTCAATAGTAGATTGCAGAGTTTCATCGTCCGGGTGAAGGTAGTCCTGAATGCACTCCGTCGCAAGATCAGCCGCCATGTTTGTTGTTTCCCAGGCTTCCACGTGACTTTCGCACGTGCGCGATTTGATTTACATTGTCACGTGCGGCTTTTGAACCAATAGAATAGTGTAAAATAGACTTCACGCGGACGTCACAAGCGATACAGCGTTGCAAAACGAGTAGTTTTGTTATTTTCGGATAATAGAAAGCCTGTCTTTCTATTCAGCTGTTCTATTACGATTTATACCTTTGTTATTTTCGAGAGACTGTGATCAGTTGCGATATTCTTCACATAAAGCCTGTTTCCAAGTCATCAACTCAGCTGGATTGCAGAAAGGTATGTTCTTCTTGATATCGTGGTTCGTTTACTTACTTTGGTTTTCTAATAACTTTGCGTAAGCTTAAAACCTCAAAGATAAATTTTAAAATTTAAGATGCATGCACAGATATGCCATTGATTGATTCCTTTTTGTTTACTGCAGAAATAACTGTACTCTTTGTTGCGCATCGTCTTCATTAATGAATAACCTTAAGTAGCCAGATCTTGAGCTGTGCAGGCAAACATTTCTTTTACACCAATATAAGTCGGTGATGTGACCCGAGCATGCCCATAATTCAGTAATTTGGCTTGTTGTACAGCTGAGTTAATATGTTAGATCTTTGGGGTTACCGTACTTTTCAGGTGACAGCACTTGACAAAGCAGTGGTCACTATAATTTATTATTTAATATTCTACTACATTTCAAATGACAAATGATTTTCCTTTTGAAATTTTTACAGTCAAAAACTCTTGTTTTACATCTATACATAATTATGGTTCAGTGATATTGTGAAATCTTAATTTGGTTCATTTTGCAAGTGACGGCATAAGTTTGCCAGATCTTGAAGCATGTGTCATTCTGAGTGACCATTGTATTATTGTTCCACATTTAAATGACAAATGATTCTTATTTCATAAATTGTACCATCCAAAACTCTTATGGTTTATACATATGGTTCAGTGATACTGTGAGATCTTAATTTTTTGCGAGTGACAGCACTTGCCAGATCTTGAAGCCTACAGTATGTGTCATCCTGAGTGACCACTATATTATTGTTCCACATTTAAATGACAAGTGATTCTTCTTTCATAAATTGTACCATCCAAAACTCTTATTGTTTATACAT